CCTTCGTCCTGTCTGACGAGGCCAGCTCTGATGGGCTATCTAAGCTGGGCAAGTGGCTCCGGGATACTCGTCCTGGTGCATTTATTGGTCTATGGGAAACACATCGAGAAGAGGCTGTTCTAGAGGACGGTTTGGATTCTCTCCTATGTATTGCTAGAGCTGCCGATGGCATGCAAACTCTACGCTCGTGTGATCAAGTGACATCAGAGAGGCTCTACAATTTCATCCCTCAATCTGGTCTGCCAACACCTGCTACCACTGGTCTAGTCTCTGGCCGAAACGGCGAGCCTAGTGCTAGGGGCATGTGGCCCTTGGCCTCAAGGTCACTACTTTATAGGCTAATTATCACCGATCTTGTATGCCCTCTGTGTGAGTATTTGAGGCATACTGTTGGGCCGGGGGATCTCGAAATCGATGCCGCCGAGATGGCAGTCTCATGCCTCCTTATTGGATGCACTAGCTGCGACCAGGACGTACGGAAGATCTGCGTTTTGAGCATATATGATAACTTTATGCCGGAAGCGGCTAAGTCTCGGATCGACGATAGACTGGCATGGGCGCTATCTAGGATCAATTGGGAGTGCGTCAGTGACCGCTACTTCATACCGGTGCTCCTCGACCTTGTCCTCATCCCTTGCGACTTGTTGAAGCCGGAAGATTCTGGTGACAGCGACTCTACCATGTGGCCAACAGAGGCTATTGGAGAGGTGGTGAAGGAGATGGAGGACCCCCGAGAGAGGCTGATGCTCGTTCACGAGGCCTATAATGGTTCGGTGGACGTGGCCCATGAGGTGTGGATCCAGGTCTTTTCTCAACTGGCCTCAAACAGAGCGGTCCGAGCATGCCAGTACTTGCTGAAGGAAGTCACGTTGATTGGCCGTCAAAGTGCCCTCAACCCAAGCGTGCCTCAAACCCTCCTTGCCGGCCTCAATGAATGTGAGGGTTGCGATGGGATAGACCCTATCATACTTATACAGTGTGCCTGTGATCACCGCTGCTGGTCTCTGGCATCCGACGCACTGCAGCAGATGGCCGTTGGCAATGATGATGCTACCGCGATGGAAGCTTGGTGGGCTATCTTGGACCTATGCCGTCTCACGGGAGATCCAGAGACGGAGCTATGGGCTCGCCGAGCAATGGGTGTAGAAGACGCGGTACTCCAGGCCGACACATTGCTACTGCAAGGTCACTGGGTTGATGCCCAGAGTATGGTGGAATCTTGGCTCTCTCACAGCAGCATATCCTGGCCAGACTCGAGTTGACGATGAGACTGTGAAGCTGCTACGACGGCTTGGG